TTTGAGCTCTCCGCGGATCTATATGGTTTTGACGAGATTAAAGTCTCGCCAAAGTCCCTCCACTCAGTGGAGAAGAGTGCAGCTGCGCTCGGTTACGCTCCGCACGTCTTTATCTCGGACTATGGGCCACGGCATGGCAATGCGGTATTTGTCAATGCGGACAGCCCCATGGCTCCAGAGATGGTTGGTCGTGGAATTACGAAGGATGGCCGATGTTCCCACACGGTCTATCCATTTTGTATAGTTGTTAACGCCTACTGGCCTAGTAGAACTGACCTTGAGGGTGCGTTAGAGTTTGGTAAGCATTTCAGTGGTTATCTTCACGAGCTCAAGAAGCTCTATAGTGGACGTCCAATAATAATGATTGCAGATCTTAATGTAGCTTTGAACGACTCAGACGTAGGGGACCACCCACGCCTCGCGGCCGACCGTCTAGCATGGCGCGAGAAAGAGGATAGGACTCCAGTAAGAGAGACCCTCCAAGAGCACGGTCTAGTAGATGCCTGGGCGCATCTGAACCCCGACGCCCGTGGTCATTTTAGTATGTTTTACATACCCTACCGGTTGTCTAAAGTTAACCAAGGTCTTCGCATAGACAGCATCTATGTGGAGAGTTCGCTAGTTCCATATTTACAGAACGCAGAGATTCTCCATCACATCAGTAGAGACGTGGGGGATCATAGGCCTGTCATGGTTGACATGCTATTTCCTGAAGGGTTTGCAAAGCGGTTCGCCTCAGGTTCCGCAGAAGACGCGAATCCTCTCGGAAGTGACGAAGATCCCTTTCTAGAAGAAGAGGACAGTGACGCAGAGGGTGAAGAGGGTGATCCCGCGGGCCCCGAATCTTCAGTGACGGGCCCTCCCGGTTCACCTAGCTTCGACTACGACAACTTCCGCGCAAAGTTTAGTGGAGCTTACTCAGAGCTTTGGGGCGCCGTTGAGAAAGCAGGCGCCTGCGAGCTCATGGCAAAGTGGTCTTCGCCTGAGGTGATGCAAGGTTATCTAGATTCAAAGGCTTTTATGCAATTGATGATGGACGACCTTAATGCCGCATGCCGGACCCTTTGGGACGGACTGCTAAAGAAGCTGCTCATTCTTGGAGAAGCAGTGCGTGTCGGTGCCAAGTTTGGCGTTGACAAGGGGCACTTCTTGTCGTGTTGTGAGAAGGTCTGCGGCTTCTTGATCAAGAGTGGTTGGAAGATTGTCCCCGAGTCGCGTGTCTGGGACATTTGTAAGTGTGCACGGTTGCCACCAACGCCCCGCATGTTGCGTCGCTTACTCGGCAAGTTGGCTTTTGTTCCACAGTCTTTGCTGTTGCATTACCCAGCAGTGGTCTCCATTCTTGGAGCCTGGGCGCGAAAGCCATTGGCAGACTATCTCAAGATTGCCCGCAATGAGCTTGCCATCCGCCAACTCAATATCGTGATCTTCTGCGCGAGCATCTCCCCGCTGTGTCCTTTGGACAGAGAGAAGCTCGAGAGCGGTGAGTGGATCCCGTTTGGCGCAAGCGATACCTCCGAGAGAGGTTGGGCCGGGTTGTTTCTAACCATTGACCGTGAGGCATGGCTTAGTGACGACAAAGACATCAAGTTGACTGATGTGATTAGAATCCACGATCTCCGTCAGAAGCCACTTGCGAAAGAGTTCCAGGAAAAGCAGAGCACGACTCTAGAAGCTTGCGGCGTAGTTGGATACTATCAGAACATAGACTGCAAGTATAGCATCTACCCGCGCTACTTTCTACAGGACAGCTCAAATGTGATTGACGTCGAATTTGAGCAGCACCGTTGCAGCGAGAAAGCAGCTAACACGTTGCTGCAGTTCGTGTTTAGATTCTTTAGCCAGCCGGGACTCAAGCGTCTCCACGCAAGCGAGTCCTTTGTTCCTGACATGGAGTCGCGGCTGCATAGGAACCTTGTCTGTGCGCGTACGCACACACAGAAACGCCTCTGCAAGCCCAAGGAAGTGTGGAAGGAACTTTTTCCGCATCTTGACTTCCCCGAATCTCCTGCGGCATCGCCACAAGGTGAGGCAAGGGCCCTCATCACCGAGGAAGAGAAGCGACGCTTTGAAGAAGCGGGAGAGAAGTTGATGGTCCAGCGTCAGCCCCATCGACAGGCAGGAATGTCTTCTGTAAGCATAGACGCAGCGGATGTTAGCGCATCTTCCCCGTCTGAGTCAGTCCCAGGTAGCGACGGCAGCGAGGAAGAGCATGACGTCGACGAGTTTGAAGACAGACCAGTCTTCGACGCTTTGACAGAAGAGTGGCCATCTGCTCCCCTATGGGAATGGATGCAACTCGAGGCTGGAACCAACGACAAGGAGCAACAGACTGACACCAGCACAGGAAGAGTCACGCTGACAGATGTGCCGCCAGCAAAGCTCGCGGCAGTAGAGACCAGGCTCCACACAGTAGCAGATCGCGTCGACTCGTTCAGTGTCCGCGATAGCTTCTTTGACACAGCGGGTGACGACCTCACCCGAGCAGGGTGCGTCTTGCGTCGTAGAAAAACCAGAAAAGGAGAAGACACCGATGACGAAAATGCATGGAAGACAGACTGGACCCTGTTCCAGTCCAGCGGCCCACCTGTTTGTGGTCTCGCAGATGTGTTTAGCTTCTTAAGTGAGAACTTCGGAGTCTGTGTTGTTGATCCTGCCACAAAGTATGGCGGGCTCGTGGACCACCCACAAGCGTCAAAGAAGTACCCCTTAGCGACCTATGTAGCCACAGACTGCAGGAGGCGTCTGTATAAGTTCCTAGGACAGCAAGAAGCAGACTTCACTTATGACTTCGCTTTTTCAACGATCCGAATCGAGCCGCGCTTCGTCAAGAGTTTCGACGTAAATAAATCGTTCAAGCCGCTCGTGGTGGTAGAATTAGAACCGAAGACAGAAGGCCGCGATACTCCGAGAAGTGTCCTACTGCGGTATGGGCTCCTCTCGTTTGTATCGGGGTCTGGGCCGTTTCACCTCGTCCTTGACGAAGCTGATCCCAAGCGCCTCCAGCTCCTCTGTGGTGGCAGGGATCCACCTAGTTCGGAGGGGCTCTTCAGATCTTTGTCGACGTTTTGCGCAGGTGACGCTCCGGCCAGCGAGCCTGGCCAGAGTTCCAGTTCTCACGAGCGCGAAGTGCCCAACTCAGACCCAGTCCTAGACCAGAATATGGAAGAGCAAGAGCAAGGCCTCACCTGTGAACCCGTAGAACAGACGGGACCGAGCGCAACAGCCGCGCAGGACTTCGAGACGAAGATGCAGGACCCCGAGAGGCGCAAGATCACGCAGGAACAAGTTCAGGAGATTTATCGCGCTTTGATCCGCGAGAGCGATCAGTTAGGAGGACTGCCAGACGCAGTGAGAAAGCTGAAGGAAAAGAAAGAAAAGCGTCTCACAGATGACGATATACTCTTCATCCATATTGAAGATGAGCACAGGCCGGCGAGTAGTCTAGCCATTACTCTTCAGATCGCTGGATACCAGGTCAAAGAGGAACGAGTGAGAAAGATCATCGTAGAACGGTGCAAGTGTAGGGGTGTCGCATTCAACAGAATGCATCCGAAAAAGAAGGAGTCGCTTCGTGTCCCACTTGCCAGCAATTGGGAGGTAGACATGTTCTATCTTCCATGGGGCAATGGTGTCTTGAAGCTCGGGTCGCGAAAGCTTCCTGAGCATGACAGCAGAGAAGCGCAGCTGCGTAACCAAGGCGAGGATCCTTATGAGATGGTTTGTAATTCTCATAATGATAGTCTAACACTCCCAGCAGGAAAGACAGAGGCTCTTTTGTTTAGGTTTGAGACGCAAGTAAAAGTAAAACCAACTGAGATCTTTGTTAGTGACAACCACGTACGCGGCAAGAGAATGCTGGGACATGATGCCATCAGGACGCAGGTTCCCATCTTGTCATATTACGCACCAGAGCAGGCGACGGCAACTGTGGGGCCTTTAAGTTTTCTCTATCGGGCTTTATGGTATGACTTGTTTGAAGTAGGTCAACAGTTAGCACTTGACAAGGCAGACTTTGTGGAAATGATTAACGCTAAGATGGCATGCATCCCTACGGGTGGAATAAATTTTAGATGGTTACTTCCAGATAGACAGTCTCAGTACTTGTTAGAACGTGCTGTAGTCGGATTAGCTGACTTATATCTCGTCAGAGCTGTGCTACAGCCGAAAGTGCAGCGAATGCTCAGGCGTCAAACTACCGCAAGGTATGGGTTGATGATGCCTGAGAAAGCACTTCCAGACGAGGAGCAAGTGTGCCTCGCCTATCATCCACAGCATGGCTTGTTTGAGGCTTTGCTTGGTGGTGTCAAAACGGTCGTAACCGTTCACGCAGGTGGTCGCGCATACCCACTGCGCCCCCGAGCATTGCGTTGGGAACGCATGCAGCCTGCTACGCGTGACCAGGTAGCGTTTGCAATTTTCGCGCCGCACATCGCCGTCCGCGTTGAGTTCCTCGTAGGTGACTGGGTTTCCCTTGGTACGCGCCCGCTCCAAGATGATGTTATCCAAGGGCCGGTCTCCGCCCAGCAGTTAGCCCACAACTGCTCTGATGTGGACCAGCTTCCAGTGATGGACCACTTCCGTGTTCGTCGTGTTGGAACTCCCCCAGGGGCCATTTCTTTTTACGCGCATCGTGCGCGAGGACAAGGGATGGAACCAGAGCAGTACGACGTCGAGATGCATGCGCATGACGAGTGCCCGAACGTGATCTGCCTCACGTCGCACAGCCACACGCCCGACATGCCCGTTTGTGTTTATGGCAGCCGTGTCGACGGCAAAGTCTTCTGGAAGGGACAGGCCAGAGACGCAATCTATTTCATGTGGAACAGCACAGGCCCTGCGGGCGCAGGTGTTAACGCGTGTCCGCAAGCTCGTGTCTGGGTTCGCAGGGATGGCTCCGACCTCCTCGACGTAGGAACGTTCAACAGCGTCACTAGCTCTAGCCACGAGGGCATAGACTTTAGTTCCCCAGTGGATGACGCCACGGCAGAAAGTGTAAGTAGTAGCTCCGCAGTCGTTGAATCAGTAGGGTCGAGGTATGATCAAGCGATAGCGTTTGAGTACTTACGTGACATGATTAGCACAGCAGAAGCTTATAAAGACCGAGACTTCATCGCGCGCCGCGTTGAAGCTAGTAGAGACCCGTCTTCTGGCGGTGGTCTTGTGTTTTCAGTTGAAGGTGAGCGCGGAGGATTCTGTGTCTCTGAAGAGACCCTTTATCGCTTCGCAGCGCTCGGCGGACCACACTCGGCCGAGCGTGTCACCCTCGCGCAAGAGGTAGTTTGGTCTGAAGGCCAGACTTCTGTAGGGTCAGACGCTTTGTTTAATAACATCCGCGACCTCGATGAAAACTACTTAGCAGTCGAGGTCTCCCAGGACTCCCCCGCGCCGGAGATCCCCGCAAAGTTTCTTGTGGGAGCGGCTGCGGGAATGTCTATGGGCCAGGTTGTGGGCGACTTCCGCACAATTGGCCGTGGTGCGATCGCATTGGTCACAGGAGAAGACGTTGCCCCCTACGGGTATGACACAGAGACAGTCCATTGTCTCAGCGGCTCACTTCCACTAGACGTCGTTGAGGGCCGCATGTGTCAAGCGTCTTCAACTATCGACGCTGACAGCGAGATCATTCGGCTATGGGATCAGCACGAGAAGAAAGAGGTGGAGAAGGAAATCCTTCAGACCATCGGGGAGGTGGACATAATCAAGCAGAACTTGAAGACGACGAAGACTCGCCCAGAAATAGAGTCTAAGTATGTGCTTGCGGCTGAGCTGATGTCTGGTAGGATCCCTTCACCGGAAGAGATTCTTGAAGAGTCTCGCCGCGCGTACTACATAGGGAAGGAAGATGGTCGCCGCCCTGTGCTGATACTTGACAGAGTAATGGTCATGCTTGCCCGCTGGGATACACCTGCTTCGCCGCCCGAGGGATGGACTTCGGATGAGATTCGGGAGTTCGTCATACAGCATGACCTCTCCGCACTTGTTGATACAGGTGATCTCTCCGGCCCCGGTTTTGATTTAGTTGGGTCTCTCTCAGTTCTAGACTCACAGGGTCCTGAGTGGTCAGACCTGGCTAACTCTATTCGTAAGGAGCTCGGTTCAACCGGGGCACAGCTTCGGCAGCGTTTCGACATGTGTCACGGAAGCATCTGCAACGCAACACTCGCGGTAGCCGACGGCCCACGAGTGACTCTGCCGCATCGTTTGTTTCCCCACCGTGTAGCAGGTTTTACCGGGTCAAGTAGTGATCTGGATCCATATGTAGTGCTGACTAAGTTTCTTGTCCGTGACATGGTCACTGGTCGTTACCATGTCACCCCGCCTCAGTGCCTCTACAACATGAAGCCATGGTGTAGAAACAAAGGCCAAAGTGGATGCGTCGACAACCTTGGAGTCGCTTGGGGCAACCGCGACATTAGTCTTGGCAGGATGAGATCGCTAGGGACTCGCATAGAGTTTGACATAGGTGGCACTACAGTCCAGATTAGCAAACTAATCACCTTCGGAGAGAGACTATCTACTTTTGGTAGCATCAGCCAGAGCAGTTCTTTCTTTGCTTTACAAGCAAAGAAAGACCCAGAAACAACAGACAGCATCTCGTTAAAGATAGGAGAGACTGTGACTATCTCGGTACCCCTACCGTTTATGATAGGACTCGACGTCTTACTGTTCCTCCACAAGCGTGACAGCGACCGTGGCCTGATTCTTACGAAAGACGGCATAGAGGCGCCGATAGTTACCGTAGTGACGTCCTCTCGTCGTTTAGTTTTACAAGTAGAAGCTACCAAGCCCTGAAGAATCACCCAGAGGGGGGTAGATGTCATGTGCAAGCTTTTGCGCTGCAAGACACTCTCGCAGAAAAAGTCCAACTTGCCAGTCTTGACGCGTGCCGATGTCTTGCGAGCAGGGCCAGAAACTGGCCTGAAATTGCTCGAAGCTGAAGAGTCAGCTCAAGACAAGGGTGGGGATGGGCCCAAAGCATCGCCCAGTGCCCCGACGGCACCGGGTGAGCCCGTTGCAACATTCAGTGCTGCAATAAATGCGCCACCGGTGACTCCGGATCTCCTCAAGGGTGCCGCAGAGGAGCACGAAGAGTTCCAAAAGAGATTTAGTGAGAACGATGAGGGTTCCCCCGCGTTCCTCGCTGATCTCTACATACAGCTCCTCACTTACGTAGACATGAGCGTCATTCTCAAAGCCGCAGAGGATAGCAAGACTCTTAGCGCGGACGACTTGATCCATATGGTAGAAGTTTTCTGCTTTATGATTACAGTCCAGTATGGACATAGAACGCACAGTCGTGAAGGGCATAGTCTCAGTACATACAAGTGCAATGAGTTTGGTGTAGAACTACTTAACTTCGGCATGAGACCGCGGGAGCAGCCGAAGCGAATGCGACACACGCAAGACGAAAACTTTATGTCTGATTTACTAGCACAGCAGGCAGTCATAATGCAGATTCTAGAGAAGTATGACATTCAAAAGCATGGGCCACTTCGCTACGTTTCTAACTCTATGCGAGCCAATAGGGCAAACAAAAAGGGAGGTCGACTAGTCTTCATATACTTAGGTCCAAACGACATCGCCATAGATGTCTACTGCTATTCAATCATAGCAGGGGAAGTGATAGACTTTCTCTTTGATTCCACTTGCAAGGCCATGATCGCAGACGACATTAGGCAGGCTTTCTATGGCATTCGTGTCACAGATGAGCTGGCTTCGTGGTTAGCAATCATGATCGGCTCGGCAATTTATGTGCCGCGCCGGGCATGCTTGGGGTTTAAGCCTTGGCCAGGGGTTTTCATGCAGGTTGTTGCATCATTCGCAGCATTACGCTGTGGAGAATCGGCAGCAGAGGACTTCCGAAAGGAGTTCACTCCGCTTGCGCAAGGGGTTTCGTTAGGGTCTTTGCATGTTTTTCGTGACGTAAACCTCTCTTGGAAGAGCATGCAAGCGCAACAGGCTGAACAAGCTTAGCCAAAATTCGTTTGCTCTGCGTACTCGTTGAAAAATAAAACTTGTTCGATACTATGACTCAGTGTCTACCCCTCGTCTAGATATTGTTTATCAATTCCCATCCCCACCCTATATGATATCGCATCCAACTACTTTCGTGTTCAATTATCAAGTCAGCTCAAGCTTTTCGTTTGGCAATATATTAGTTCGTTAGGCACGTAAGATAAGTGCCAAACTCTGGCTGAAGTGTACATGCTGCAAGCATGAACAGAACACAAGAAAAACGCTGTTAGCAACAAGCACACCAGCAGCGGACCCGAGGGCGACACGTTAAGAGTGTGGCCGCTCAATGGCCAGCAACTTACGAACTAAGTACGTTGAGAAACTAGATTCAGTATCTATAGTCGAAGGAAGTACTGCCTTGAAGTTTGGTAGGCCATCTACTTGGTTGGTTGTGGTAGTTTTATATCTTTTCCGAGCAGTGGCACCGCGGTGAGCATCTGGCGCGACGCCAGAATATACATATATCGCATGTTCCGGCAAATATAACCTGAAGAAGGAATATACACTATATTACTGGTGACGCAGCATTGCGCAGAGCATTTTTCGCAAAGATGGAACTGGAATGGGAATTGGGATGGAAATTCATTGGAATGGGAACTGGAGGGGTTTTGGAACGGGATTTGGAGGGAAGGGCGAAGCTCATGGTCATGGATCAACCAACGAAGGAAGACATGGGCTAACGCTAACCAACATAGCAGCAAAGTCGGCGCAGCACTTGACGTGGGTGCCGGATGACTCCTAGAAGGCGTTGTGTTGTGGGGGCTCCCTGCTGTGGCTATCTCCGCTCTAGTCTGTTTCAAGCAGTCCTTCTCTTTTTCCGCTATAGTCCTATCTTTCGCAACCTTCAAATAAAAGTGCTCTCTTTCGCAAGTTTTTTCTATCGTTTATCTTTCGTACCGTCCTGATAAATAGTTGAAGTAGATCCTGCTGCGCCACGATTAGTATCTGTCTTATATATTTGTGCTTGATTTGTTTTTCAATAACTTGCTCGACCTATTTTCTGACTCCTTTTTCGATCTCTTTTTGTGTTTGACTACTTATCGTTATTTTCGTTGGATGTTCGTTGAATGTGTAGCATAGTTCGCTTTCAGCAAGTATTTTTTGAGTTGTGTTGATGTCATGTCGCATCTAGTTTAAGGTCGTAAGTTTGCTTAGCCTTAGGAGGCACGTCCTCAGCTATCGCGCGTGCGTTATAGTTGGTTTTTTGCACGACGCGGGTTGTCGTTGTTTGACCTTAAGAAGACGGTAGATCCGCGCTGTGGGTCTTAGTCTCGAGGGTGTAAGAAAGGGTAGACAAGAAGCGAAGCCTTCGCGAAGAACGTAAAGTAAGCCAAAAGTGACAGGAAACACTAGACAGCGGCTGGGGCGTTTATGGTAGAAGTCTACTGGTAAGACCATTGCGGGGCGGCGTTTGCTGGTAAGCCCAGAGTGGGGATCTGGCGTTTGAGGTTGGGGGCACTCGGAAGGTGAACTGCGATGAAGGCGCAGTAGCGGCGCCTCGTGATGGCTATGGTGGATCTATACTGTATCGCCGATGTTGCATTTTTTAAGTAACTCACCGTGGGCAGCAGGTAGTTTAGTTCCTAGCTTCTGTTCGACGTATTTTCGTACTTTCGACCTTCCCCTGTGTGCTAGTTAGCTTGTCGTAGCGTCTTGTAGTTAGTTGTATACTCGTCTTTTTTTCACTTTTCAGTGCAGTTTTGAAGGCTTAGAGCGGGGTGGTCCATCAGCGTTGGGCAGCTGCTGCGGCATGATACCCGAGGGACGGGGATCCAGCAGCAGCCCAAAGAAGATCAAGGAGAGAAGTTTTTTCTGTGTCAAAAAGGTCTATTTCTAGTAGGAACCGATAACCCGGAACAGCTTGAAAAAGCAAAGAACTTTGACAATTTCGGTTGGATCTTCAATGCACATTGAGGGCATTACATTTGTGCACTTGAACAAACAAAGCAGCTGTTGACCTGCTACATGATAAAAGAAAATCTTTGAACAGCCACACTAGGGCCATTGGATGGCGAGAGAAGCACGATTTTAAGCCCGTTTGGGCAGTTGAAGCCCAAAGTGGCATTTTTCAAACAAGAAGCAATTTAACAACTCGAATCCAAAAGCATGGGCGTTCTTCACGTTACGCCGGTGCTCTCCCTCCGGCATGCTAGGGGCAGCGTGCTCGAGATCCGATCAGGCACGGCGAGTACCTATGAGCTTGCCTCCAGGGTACAAAAAAAAACGAGATCACCTGCTACTTAGCCAACGAATTGGCTACCCATTGGCTACCCATTTGCCTCCCCATTTGGGTACCCATTTTCTTCTTGGGCGACTCCATAGCTTGCCGACAAACTCGGTCGGCAGTTTCTGTAGTCATTTCCCGGAAGGCAGACACTGCAGAGCGTCGCGGCCCTGGCATTGGAGGACATGGCTGCGGAGTTCTGGTGGTCTCAAGAAAGCTGCACGCTTGCCCAGCCTTTAAGCTTGTAGCGCAAGGAGAAACCGCACACGCGTTCGCGTGTTTTTTTGTTTTCCTGTTTTTTAAATTTTTTAATTTGTTAGCATTTTTGGAATTTCTCGAGCCGTATATGCTCTAACTGGAGGCGATTCGATCTTCAGAAATTTTAAAAACATCGCTGCAGAAATTGGCAAAAATATAAATTTTTTGAAACAAGCCAGCCACCCCAGCCACCAACGAAAAAAAGGCGGCGAAAGCAGTCCCCACAGATATGATTTTTTCGCCACGCAGCGACTCCCAGCCAAAAAGAAAGGACCTCCCTAATTTTTTGGCAGGGGTGGCTGCACTGCGAAAAAAATGACATCAGTGGGGATCGCATTCGCCACTTTTTTTTGGAGTAGGTGGCGAGAAAAATGCAAAATCAGCAAATTTATCAGCTTTTTTCTTAATCAGCACTGGCAAAAATTCCCCGGGGTTCTGGTTTCCACCTAAGAAGATGCCAGGAAGTTGCTAAGCTTTTGCTTTTTTTCTCATCCGCATGGGTAAAAAATCAGCAGAGTGCTGGCCTCAAGTTGAAAAGTTACCCAAAAAGCTACGAAGTTGCTGCGCTTTTTCTAATCAGCACCAGCAAGAAGTCGCAGGCTGCTGCTTTCAAGTTGCAAAGTCGCCACAAGCTGAATAGGGGCGCCCTTGCTCCTTATCTCTGCTCGATGTTGATCCGAGCCCTCCCAAACCAGACCCAAACCAAACTCGGACCAGACTGGAACTAAACTCCCACCAAACCCAAACTGACCAAACCCAAAAACGAACCAAACACGAACCAAACACAAACCAAACACGAACCAAACTGAAAGAAACGCGAACCAAACTGAAAGAAACAGGAACCAAACTGAAAGAAACCCCTACCAAACTGAAAGAAACACAACCCAAACCCAAACCCAAATCAGACCCAAACCCAAACCAGACCCAAACAAGTCCCAGGCTGCTGCTTTCAAGTTACAAAGTCGCCAAAAGCTGAATAGGGTCGCCCTTGCTCCTTGTCTCTGTTTGGTCCGAGCCCTCCCCCCCAAATCAGACCGAAACCAAACTCGAACCAAACTCGAACCAAACTCGAACCAAACCCAAACCAAACCCAAACCAAATTCAAACCTACCAAACTCAAACCTACCAAACCCAAACCAAACACAAGCCAAACTGAAACACAAACCAAACCCAAACCAAACCCAAACCAAACCCAAACCCAAACCAAACCCAAACCAAACCAGACCCAAACCAGACCCAAACCAGACCCAAACCAGACCCAAACCAGACCCAAACCAGACCCAAACCAAACCCA